TTTAACAGAGACCTTATTCCCCTGGGCATTGTTGCAGCTCACTCCATGGACCACTCTCTCCCTGACCCTACTTCTATCTCTCTTTACTGACCCTCACCTGTCGTACACCTTGCACCTTGTCCACATTCGCAGGGTTCAGACACTCCATGTTGCTTGGCCTTCCTCCTACCCCATGATGGTATCCAGTTACTCCTCCATTCAGACCCACTATTTCCTTACTTATCTCCCATCCTTTACTGTTGCTAACCCTCCCCTGCCCTTCCCCTTCCCTTTTGAACCCCCTCTCCCCCCTCACCTCTCTTACCGACCCCTAACTTGGAGCCTAACCCCCAACCACTTCATTCTTTGCCCCCTATCTCCTCCCCTCCTCCTCCTGCTCTCCCTTGCACCATCTTTACCCAGGTTCTTACCTCAGACTCTTTAGTGCCCCTCCCCCTCCTACCCCCTGCCCTTTACCCTTCTAACCCACCCTCACCCATGACTGAAGCTACAACCGAGACACCTGACATGGCTGTATCTGCTAGCGGCCGTCCAAGGTTCCCAATTCCGTATATTTTGTTTTTGTACCACCCAAAAACTCACAAACACCCATCTCTCCCTCCAAGGCCTCCTTCGAGGCGGTGGAGGTCGACGGAGATTGCATTGCGGCATCCATCTCTCCCTCCTCGGCCTTCGTCGAGGCAAAGGAGGTCGACGGGGATGGCATTAACAGAGCAGAAGATAGAATGAGAGAGATGTACAGAATTATGGGGTTCGAGTATGAAGGACCCGAAGGACCGGCGAACAGGTTCCTCACAGCTGACGCGCAGAGCAAGATGCAGGTGAGATTCAAAGGCCAGAGAGTGCTTTGCAACCTTTTCTCCTCTATCTCCTTTGTAGGACAGCCTAAAGAATGTCTCCCCTCTCCTTCCACTACAAACCATGCAAGGAGGTCCCCTAGATTGGCCTCCTCCTCCTTGCCCTCCCCCAATACATGAAGTTGCTAGTTTGGAACGTTCGAGGCCTGGGACAGTCCTCCAAGAATGACGTTATCAAACTTCACCTCCAAACTCTCTCCTGCATCGAAACCAAACAAACAGAGCCCAACCTCAAACTCATTCACCAGGTCTGGGGAAGAAGACCCTGCCAGTGGGTCGCTCTTCTGGCGAATGGGGCTTCCAGTGGAATCTGGGTGGTTTGGAACCCTTCAGACCATATTCTAATCTCCTCCTATATAGGGGAGTTTTCAGTTTCTATCTTTCTCTCTAGCACCTCAGACGAGGTCCCATGGAAATTCACGACCATTTACGGCCCAAACTCACCCATTTTAAGAAGCAGACTTTGGTCTGAGTTGGAACTTGTTGCGTCCCTTCCACACCCCATGTCGTGCTTGGGAGGCGCCTTGAATGTCACCCGGTGGTCCCATGAGAGAAACTCCTCTTCATCCATCTCTCAGGATATGAGGGATTTCTCAGACTTTATCAGTCAAAATGAACTCTTAGATATCCCCCTTCAAGGCTGCCGGTATACGTGGTCCAACCATGGAACAAACCCCACCCTTTCTAAATTAGACAGACTCCTCCTTTCCTTTAACTGAGAGGAATGTTTTCTGCGATCCTTAGCTTCGGCCCTACCCAAACCCACCTCGGACCACTGCCCCATTCTTTTTGATACGATTGGTGTAAGGAGAGGCCCCAAACCCTTCAGATTTGAACTTCTTTGGCTCCATGAGGAGTCCTTTCAAACCCTCGTTCAAACTTGGTGAAATTCCTTTTCCTCCCAAGTCACCAATAGAGCTGGTTTCAAAGCCTCCCTCAAGACTTTGAGTCGTTCCATCCCCGGTAACTCTCCCAAATCCAATCCTCCCTTCTGGAAACCATCCAAAATTTTGACCGTCTTGAGGAATCTAGATCTTTGGATGCCACAGAGCAGGATCTAAGATGCAAGACAAAACTGGAATACCTTTCAACTCTAAAAAAGGAAGAGATTTACTGGTTCTAAAGATCCAGAATTAACTGGTTGAAAGCGGGTGACCACAACACTGCCTTTTTTCATCGGATAGCCAATTGTCACAGAAGAGACAATGCTATAACAACGATCAAATACAACAACTGCTACCTAACTCAACCAGAAGAAATTGAGCAGGCAATCATTGAATTCTTTCAAGCTCTATACTCAGCTCCTTTCGGCCCCAGACCGAGAATGTCATCCCTTGACCCAGTAGACCGAACCGAATGGCTAGAGCGATCTTTCTCAAAAGAAGAAATTCTACAAGCTATCAATTCTCTAGCTAAAGACAAGGCCCCTAGGGCCTGATGGCTTCCCGGTCACACCATTCAAGGAATTATGGGATACCTTCCGGCCTGATTTCATTAAGTTCTTTGAGGAATTCTTCCTCCAGGGAACTCTACACAAAGCTATTAATGCCACCTTTCTTGCACTTGCCCCTAAAATTGAAGGGGTTGAGGAAATCAAGGACTTCCGTCCAATTAGTCTTCTAAATTCCTTGTACAAAATTCTGGCAAAAGTCTGGCATGGTGGAAGGGTCGTTGATTTTTTACGAGGGAACCCCACTTTGATACTAATTAATGCAACCCTTGCAAACTCCCCAGTTTGGTAGGGTGGAATGGTCGTTTCCTCTCTATGGAGGGTAGAACGACCTAATTAATGCTACCCTTACAAACTCCTCAGTTTACCTCATGTCCCTTTCCATATGCTAGCCCAGGTGGCTACCCGCTTGGACCAACTCATGAGAAACTTCCTATGGTCGAGGCAGGCTGAAAAGACTAAATTTCATCTGGTAGCATGGGACAACATTTGTCTACCAAAAAATCAAGGAGGTCTAGGAATCCGAGTTCTTCTCAAACATAACTTGGCACTCCTTGGAAAATGGTGGTGGCGTCTAGCCACTCAACCTAACTATGGGCTCAAGTCTTGCAGAACAAGTATAGAATTCCCGAAGGAGTCTAGGTACCATAAAGGTCTCAGTGGCATAACGCTTCAGGAGCCTGGAAATCTTTCTCCTCTGTTATCTCTCAGTTCAGAAAGTTCATTAGGCTTTACCCTAGAGATAGCTTTAGAGTGAGATTCTGGTCAGATTTATGGTTAGGAACTTCTCCCCTGCGAGAAGTGTTCCCTACCCTTTATCCACTTGCTATAAACAAAGAATCTCTGTTTGCAGAGGAAATGGTTACGTCAGGAGGCAGAAGAGTGTGGAACCCATCTTTTCGAAGGAACCTAACTGAAGAGGAACCCAATCAGTTTCAGTTGCTTTCGACAACCCTACACTCCCTCTTCATTCCCATTCGAGGACAAGATGCTTTAGTATGGACTCTAGCCCCCTCTGGTAGATTCTCGGTATCCTCTTTCTACAAGAACCTAACCCACCATCCCACTTTTCCAGGGAACCCCACTTTGATACTGTCAAAAGTTTGGTCCACCATCGCCCAAGGTCCAAAATTTCAACTGGCTCGCTTGATCCCAAAGAGCACTCACAGTGGATCATCTTCAAAAGAGAGGGATCTCGATCCCCAATAGATGTGCTCTGTGCCTTAGCGAGGAGGAGTCTAATCCTCATTTATTCATTCTCTGTGACATTACCCACGATCGTTGGGGCCAAGTGTTGCAGCTTTTTGGTATCAAATGGGTCATCCCTCCTACGGTCAAGGCCTTAATCTCTTATGACTTACATTCTTGTTGGCCGAAGACTGGTAGAATCCTATGGAAGGCAACTATTGCCGCAACAATCTGGACAGTATGGGTGGAAAGAAACACTATAATCTTTCAAGGTGTTAAACTCCACTCATCTTCACTCCTACACAAGGTAACCTCATTAGTCACTTTCTAGGCCCTTAACCACAAGAATTTTTCAGGCATACCAGAGAGCTTCTTCCTCTGTCAATGGAAAAATATCCTTCATCACCAACCGAGACCATCACCAAGACCCTAGAACCGGCAACCACCTCCAGAAGGCATCATCAAACTGAATTTTGATTGATGCTCCCTTGGGAATCCTAGTAAGGCAGGGGCAGTGGGGATCTTTAGAGACCATCAAAGCAACATCCTCCTAACTTTTTCTGAGCACCTTGGTCTCAAAGATTCCCAACATGCAGAAGCCTTGGCCCTCTTAATAGGCTTGAAAAGTTTCAACTACTCTTGGGGCTCACACTTGATAGTGGAAGGAGACTCACAAAATGTTCTTTCCTGGGCAAGTAGGACATCCTCCCCACCATGATACCTACCTCTAGTTTTGACGAAATTGATCACAATTGAAAGGCTATAGACATCTCCTGGAAGCATATATGGAGGACGTCCAATGATTTCACAGATCGGTTGGCGAAAGAAGGAGCTAGAAGCCAAGGAAGCCAAGGACAAATTCTAGCCGGGTCCATCTCCTTTTTTGCTCAGGACCCCTGGAATATAGCTTAAACACCTTGTAATTCAGCAACCTAAGCTGAATTTTTTGAAAGCTTCATGTAAATCAATGTAATAGCTGTATTTGTTTGAATGCTTCATGTACATCGATGTAATTGGGCGGATTTTATAAGCCCTTTTTTGTACATGATAGACTTAGGCATTTTTTACCAAGTCACCCTGCATGGGCGACTTTGGAATCCCGTGACCTTGTAATTCTCCCCTTTAATACAATGTTAACATTATCAAAAAAAATAATCAAGAATAAAAAGATTACGCAACCAAATCTATCAAACTGCCTAACAACTAGCAGAGTCACAAGAAAACTGACACTTAATCAGAACAGCACACCTCTGATTACATGTTAAGGAATTTCACTGGAAGGATTGCACTTCAAAGATCATACAAGTTAGAGAATCTAATTCAAGATAAGCTGACAAAAAAGAGCATGTAATAAAAGGGTTAGTAATCCATTAAATCGCCATTGGTAAGATAGAATTTTATTGCACAGAGAACAATACAGAAAGACCATTACAAATAAATCAAACAACCCTATCGACTTTGAATTAACTAAAAAGGTAAAAGGTTGAACAAGCAAAGGAGAATACTTCTTTAAGATGCTCTTCAGGAAGGGAAACATCTGCTGCAACTGTTCTAGTTGTGAAAGGCCTTGAACAAATGTGACAGGAATAAGAAATAAAAACATGAAAACAACAGCTGCCATAAGGGTAGCAATGCGCCGGAACCAAAGCTGCCTGTATGGGAGCCAAAGGTTTGACCAATAAACATCGTGAGGTTCTGGGGCTAAATCTGTAACCCATAACATAGGATTTGACGATTGCTGAACTTGAGAAGCAACAATTGCAGCATAGCGAGTCTTGAAGAAAACAAATGCAGAAGCACATTCCTGTAGAACAAAATAAGCTTCCTCAACAAATTGGGACAAACTTAACACAATTGTGGCAATAACAGTACAGATGTTCCATACAGGGAAAGAAAACAATTCAAATGTTAACTGAAGTCCTGAATAGTTTCCAACGGACTTTGATGAGAACTTATTCTATTTCAACCAATTCCAACCATTATAATAGATGCCCCAATCAAAATCAAATTGTCTCCTTAATCTCATGAAGTACGTTCATAACTAAACATCACTTGGTTCTAAAGCCACATGAACAGAAAAAAAAAAAAGGGTACGTAAAAATGCCTAGAGAAATGATTACCTTGGGTTCAGAAAATGAATCTGAATCACCAATGCGAGCTTTCCTTTCAACACTTTCCAGTTTCCTTGAATATATTACAATTGGATCAGACATTCCACAAAGTCCACATGTCAATTTATTTGGTACACATCTAGGGTGCAACTGATTAGACTTCAATAGGACAATCCCTTTATAAATTCTCTCTGCATCGTTCTGCACTAAGGTAAGCAACAAGCTCAAGTAAAATGCATTTACAAATAATCAAATACATTGTTAACAAAAATTCTAGATTAGCAGGCAAAAATATCAAAATTAACAAATGACAGAACATTTGAAGATTTATCCATAATAGACTGATTCATGTCTGATAAGTAACTTCTCATAAATAATTGGACAATGAAATGAAATTCAAACTAATTTAACGAAATAATCAAAATCATGCAAGTTATAAAACATTCACATATTGTGACTATAAATTTCTTCATGTTAGACGTTACTTGGTTTAAAGAAAGTAAATCATGTAACCTTGACAATTCAAGTACAACAATAGATGAGAACGACATTTTGAACAGAGAAATCTTCAACAAATTATTAACTTAATGGAAACTGCTATGGGCACAAAATACCAAAAAATTACAACAGGCTCACTTGTACCTTGCAGAGAAAGTAAGTACCATGAAATGCGTTCAGTACCCCTGCCCCCAGCAGCATTAATCTAATTCGAGCTTGGATAAAAATTAGAACACTAGATCTTAAACCCAATCCAAAGGACTAATTGAAGCAGATCTGTGAACATGACAGCATTTTCTCATCCAAAAGTTGCTAGGAGCACATGAAGATCAAATTCTCCAAAAACCGAACACCATGTGGGAGCAGCCAATCCACCAAGGGGCAGCTTGTATACATGGCTAGCACATATGACAAGCACTATTGCACCCACCTAGCAGGCCACCTAGAAGGGCTGCATCATCTGAGGCAAGAAGGACCTGCCTAGGCGCCTTCTGAGCTGCCTAGGCACCCCGCCTTGGGCAGGACAATCAGGAGGGTCACATCAGCTTAGGCCAGGTGCTTAGGCACCCACCCCGACTCGATCTAGCCAAGTAGTCGAGATGCAGACCGCTTTTTTGTACACTACTATCTAGTACCCATAGATCACCACTATGACATACATCATTTGGTATATTTGGAGGGAGAACTTATGAATCTTTGAAGGAGTGGCCACTCCTAGTGAAGCTTTCTTAAGGCGCTACCAATGGAGAATTAAATAGCCATGCTCCGCAATTCAACATGATGAGGACCACCAACAGACACGAGTGCTCAAGCCTATAAAGAGCCTGTTGAAAATTCACTAATCACCACCATTAGCTGGATGCCTGGATCCTGCCAAGCAACAATAAGACAAAAATACCAAAAGTTTGAAGCAAAATGGACACAATTGTTTTAGGGCATCTTTGAAGACCTCAATGGCTACTTTATAGAAGAAGCCTTTGTTGAACCAGTTGGATGCTCTCAAAGTGATGTTGAGCTTCACGCTTTCTAGTAGCCATACATCGGGCCATCCAGTAGCCATACATCCGGCCAGAAGACATGGATTCATTCGAATTATCTTTTGAGACACACTACTCATTGTTCCAAAATATGGCCCGCCTGGCACCAAGGTGCCCAAAGGGCAAAGGCCCCTAGGTCGCCTTATCTAGGCCTAGATGGGGTTCTTTGGGCACCAGTTCCGAGGCGCCCGCCCAAGCAGGCACCCAAGGCCTATGCTATTTAGGTGGGAGGCAAAAAGCATGTGAGAGCATTTTGATCTTTTTGACACATGAAATAAAGGAAATTGAGTGCTTTAAGAGTCTTCTAACCTCCCCCACCCCAAAAAAACTCAAACCTAAACTTTAAAAATACCCAAAATCGATCAATTTTGCATACTTTTTCAAATCCAAAAAGAATTGTGAAGTTTGAAGAATCATCCAAAAGATAACCTATCTTTACTGGAATCATCTTTACAGTGCTTGTGAGGGTATTAGAAGACTATTGGGGTGACTTTGAGCTTGACTGACATCCAAAACATCAAAGAAAAGAGATCGAGTAAAAAGGTTAGTTTACAATCTATATTTGAGATTTCTTTCTTGGATTTGAGATGTCTGCTATGGGGTCTACTAGAAATAGAGTCCAGAATAGAAATTGGATACAAATAATACAAAAATAAAATAATGTGCAACTTTTGTGTTCATGTTTCAAATACTGAGATAAATAGGTTCAAGAAACGTCTTGCCGGTATTAAGGGGGGGAGGTTGCCCCATGTAAAAAAGTTCCCAAGCTTGCGAAGAAAGAGATTCTTGATGACATCGAAGCTGAAAAATAATAAGAGTAACAAAGGAGAAGGATATAACAGAATTGACCTTGGGGGGTTAGTATTTTTTATGACAATGATGAGGAGGATAATGAAGGGGTGTCAATCTCTCAAAATTCTAAAAGGGTTTTTGGATCTAAGAGGCCTTGTATAAAACGGCCCATTGATGCCTTTTTTACCCCGAACCCAAGCCGCAATTGAGAAAGGGAAGCGAAAACGGAAGAAGGACCTAGAAAAAAGATACAAGAAGGAAGATAGGGGCAAGGGTAATTCAATACATTGCTCAATGGTTTTATTAGGGTGGTAATTTCTTTTAATGTTGCTAGCTTAAGTAGCTTTCATACAATGCTAGAAGCAATTGGCCAACTTGGGCCAGGGTTGAAAGGTCCAATCCCAGATGGGCTTTCAGAGCCACTATTGAAGAAAGTGGTAGGCAGAGTACACCAAGAATGGTGGGCACAGCTTGGGGTGTCCATTATGATAGATTCATGTAGTGACAAGAGGAGGAGTATTATGAAGTTGTTGATAAACTAGCATTTAGGTACAGTATTTTTGCAATCCATTGATGGATGGTCATGATGCAAATTACATATTCCCTTTGATTGATAAATCCATTGAGGACGTTGGGAAGGAGCATGTAATCCAAAGTGTTCATTTATGCTGCTCCTAATTTAGCTACAGCTCATTTGATTCGCCCGGAGAGGCCTCATATATTTTGGATGCCTTGCACTACACATTGCAAAGACCTTATGCTTCAGGCTATTGGCGACATTCCCATAGTAAAAGAGACACTTTTCAAGGCCAAGCAGGCCAGCATGATGTGCAAGTTCACAAAAAAGGAGCTACTAAGGCCCAGAACTGCCATTGCTTACTTGAGACTCATCGTCATCATCATAATCTTTTCCCAATTAATTGGGGTAGGCTACACGAATCTTGGTATGCCGTTCTCCTCTATTAAAGGCCATACCTCTATTGCGTACTTGAGTCTAAAGGCCATAAATAATAGGAGGATTCCATTGAGATCTATGTTCATTACAGAGGACTGAAGCAGGTGCAAGTAGTCTAAAGATCCCAAAGGAAAGAGGGCCCATGATTATTCTTTCTAAAGTTTTTTGACATGGGATAAAATACTTAGTATTAGCATTTCTACCGTTGGTCAACGTCTTGCAGTTGGCTAATAGCGATTAGCCCTCTATGGGCTTTACATGTGATGCTCTAGATGGAACTAAGAAGGAGATAGTAGAGAGTTTGGGCAATGATAAGGGCCAGTATAGCCCAATTTGGGAGAATATAGATGGAAAGTGAAAGAGGCAACTTCATAGACCATTGCATGCAGTTGGGTACTGTTTAAACCCAAAGTTTTTTCTGCTGACCTACAAATTGAGAGAAAGATACAATTATGGATGGATTTAATGAGTGCCTGGAGAGACTAGTTCTTAAACCAGATATCCAAGATAACATCCTTGTTGAGGAAATCATTTTGTGCAAATGTCCATTGAAGAGATAAGATATCATTTTGTGCAAATGTTCATTGAAGAGATAAGATTATTGTTGAGGAAATCATTTTGTGCAGGTGTCCATTGAAGTCATTCAAGAAGGAAATGGCAATTAGAAAAAGGATCAAATTAGATCCAGGTAATGTATTTCATTTGAAAATTTCAGTTGTCTAAAATTCTTTATGAGAGTCTTAAATTACTTATAGAGATTGCACTCAATTTGCCACCCGATGGTGGAGCCAGCATGGGACTTGTGCTCCAAACCTCCAGAAGATGACTATTCGGGTCTTGAGTTTAACAACTAGAACTTCTGGTTGTGAGCAAAATTGGAGTTTGCATGAGACGATATGCTTAATCATTTTCTTGTTACATGTTTATTTGTTTATTATAAGACACAGGCATTAATTATACTTTTACAATTTCACTTTAGTTATCTAGAATCAGTGAACAAAAATTCAGCCGCCCGGCCGATAAGCGACCTGGCCGACAAACATCCAAGGCATAGCCTAAGCAGTGGGTCTGGGCGGGCATGCCTAAGGAGGGCACCTAGCGGTCAAGGTGGGCTCAGTCTGAGCGCCCACCTAGAGAAATCCCTTGAATAAATAAAAGAAAAGGAAATTCAAATCCACCCAAACAAAAATAAGGCCTCGTGTAGCTTTTCTCTCTCTCGGGGCTATGTGCTCTCTCTCATATGAGAAGAAGAAGAAGAAGAAGATGGACTCCAAGTGTTCGACGCACAGTCTCACACACACACGCACACATACATACACAGATACACATGGATGCGAGGTCCCTCTCTCGCATAGACTCTCTCTCTCACTCTCTCACTCTCTTGCTCGACATATTCTCCAAGGGTTCGAGACCTCTCTATCACAAAAACAGATCCAAAAGAAAAGAAAAAAGAGGATAATCTTTAAGAATTTCATGCGAGACCTCATGCACACACACACACAAACACTAAATACATACACACACATTCAGAACGCACGCACACACACAAAAAAAACAACATATGGCCCCCACCCCAACCCCTTCCCTTAGGCCTCCACCTTTTTGAACATTGTCTATAATCCAAATTTAAAAATCTTGATGGATCACGTAGCACTTATGCATTTTTTTTCTTATAGGTGCATATAAAGAGAAGGAATAGACTAATTTAGTAATTGTTAGATGGAATCAGAGGATTGAGGAGAAGCTCAATTAGCATGAGAAGAGGGATCCCATCGCTTCCAAGGACATGGAGAGTGCTACTAAGGTTGTTTTGGGACCTTGGGACTGAAGAGATCCTCACTGGGAAGGGTTTGACATCGGATATGATTGAGGAGGCTTTAGGTCCGGCTTCTGATCCAAGGAAGGCCACTTGAGCAACA